ACCAGTGGAGCAGTTAGCATGTCTATCATATCTATACATACTGATAATAAACTGTGTTTAAAATGTAATTTCTTCCACATAAATCTGGCTTGATAGTGGCTAGGAATTATTGGGTTTATCTTTAGATGCTTCAGATGCTTTTATCATGAGGAATTTTAATCAAAACATTTCAGACTCATGAATTCAAGACCACAGTGTTGATGTTTTTTTTGGAGCATCACTTGCAAAAAAAGAAAAAAAACAGTTTCAGGAAAAAACTAATTACCACTGGTGTAACTGAAAGTGTCTCGGCTCACATCTTGAACTGGTGTTGATGATCAAATTGTTGTTTTTCAGGAACCGTTGACTGGTGTGCCTCAAACTCTGTAATGGAAAATCGTGGTGAGTACCAAGTTGCTCGTTGTGGTTTGTTAAGTGCAGTGTTAACGCTGTGGAGAGAGCTGTAGATCCACTCATCCCGCTGTACATTCACCGTGTTTATGGGGTCTGTCTTGCCTTGCACGTTTTTATGAGCCACTCAAGACTTCAGCCATACATCTCCTCAACCTCGGGGCCTGACTGATCTTCATTTTCCCCTTTCAAATCTTGGCTTTTCAGGGTTTTCCCTGGTCGGCGCGTGTGCGTGTGTGCGTGTGTGTGTGTGTGTGTGTGTGTGTGTGTGTGGCGCTGCAGAAGACTTGTTTTCGTGAATCTGTTTTGTATCATTGTTTAAGTTGTGAATATTTAGAATATGAGTTGCCGTGTAATAGGATGAGCAGGTTTTGTCTGCTGGTGTTAACCGCCTTCACAGGCAACACTGAGCACTCCCACTCTCATAACAGCTGTGCAGGAAAAGGAACCTCGATTATGTTCAGTTTTTTTGTTTATTTTTTTTTGGCACTGGGATCTCTTCAGTTAAGTAGTTCCCTTTTGTAAAATGTATCTGCCAGAAAGAAAAAGTAGGTAAACATGTCCAAATGTCCACATGCTAAACCGTCCTTTGTGACCGTCACTTAAGACTTCCTGTGGCTACTTCACAATAAAAGCCATGTACAATTCTCTTCACTACAAGGCTGTGGAAAAACATCTACAGGTGTGTTGTAAATGTGTGGGATTTGCATTAGAGTGTAACAGAGTAACATTTTGGGAAATACACTTATTCGCTTTCCTGCCAAGAGATGGGATGAGAAGATTGACTCCAGCCAGTATAGCTCACTGTCTAAAACACTGTAGCTCATTTATTTATTTCCATAAAAAAACATGTAATAACAACAGTTTGTTGTTCCCCATGTTGCTAGCATTTAATTTATCTTATTTTAGCCCAATCAAAGAAAATGTCTATATACATAAATAGTTCAAATTTGCCCTTATACAAAAATGTGAAGTATATGTTAAGACATTTTTAAAATGGCTCATTTTCTGTCACAAATGAGACTTGCAGCAGTGACACAGAGCTCGATCCAAAAGGCACGTTCCATACTCTCCCCATGTTGGACGGGGCCATGCATGTACATGTCTGTGTGTACCTGGCTCAGTCAGTCTGCCTGCTAAAGTGGCCTGGCCCAGTCTGTTATCCAGGTCAGGCCAACAGGTTCTGGGCTCATGCGGATTGGCTCAGCTCTCTCTGGAAGCCGGCCCGATGTGGAGGCTGTATGTGGGGCACAGGGAGAGAAAAGAAACGTTGCCGAACACACTAGCTCTCCATCTTTAGAAACAGCTCGAGATGCAGCCAAACGCTCAGAAAACTCTGATCTATCCAGGCATAATGACACAGCTCGATGCTCTGGATTCTTCTGAGGTGCGGTCGGACAAGGTTTTTCTGAAGACACTCGAACCTCAAAAGGAATCAAAGCACTAATTCAGGGGGTCCAGTCTGTACTCCTTCTTTTCTACTAGTTTAGAGAAGGTGGTTTCTCTTTCTTTCTTGCTCTGCCTCTCTATATTCAGGGCCCCAAACAGGCGGCTCTCCTTGGCAAACATGTTTCAAAGTCATGCTAATGCCTCAGAGACTGTTCATATTGTGATAAGAGACTCGGAGATGTGCATAAAATGGTGTCTGGAGGCATTAAGAGAGGTGAGCAGCATGATAAACGCCCTCCGCTAGCTCTGAACAACAGTAGTGGCCTAATATTAGCATGCATACTAGATATAGAAATGGCATGTGTGATCAACACATCTTCCTATTTGCCAGATTGGCTTGTGATCCTTCATTCCTTCTTTTAACAAGTTCAGTGTCATAGTAGCAGCTGTACTGCTGCTGGGATTCATGATCAAATTTTGGAATGGAGCAGCATCTCAGGCGCACCTTCATGCTGCTCCCACAAAAAAGTCATGTCACTGATCTTGTGGGACATTTCTCCTGATTGAGGAAATTGATTGAAATTGCTCCAATTTTCTCTCATTCATCCTTCACATCGAGACAAAAACAAGGTAACAAGGTTTTTGCTTGTCAGTTAAGGTGGTTTACTAATTTAGGAATGGCTTATATAGATACTATCTATATCTCTATCTTCTGTTCTCCTCGTCAGGTCTAGGAAGACAAAAAGCACTGACACCAGTGTGTTTGGCACATAATCGTTTTCAAGGCAAACAATGTGGTCTGAGCTCTGTGGTTTTAAGTTGAGTTTTTTTTTGTGGTGGTTAAGTACTTTTATTGCAACGTTTAGCCTAGATCAGTGTTATGATCATGCAAGTCCTTGTTTTCTTGAGACCCACTGCACCACATAGCATGCATCACATTGTACATACATTATTGGGTGCACACATTGCACCACATACCACAGCACACACATGAAATTGAAAACATAACTCGTCTTTCTCCCTGGAATGGTAGGCATCTTTCAGTGAATGCTGACCTGTGCTATGAGCCAAGGAGGGAGGGTCAGTACGAGAGGGGGAGAGGGAGTCCGGCTCCTGGAGGGAGGGAAGGTCTTAAGGAGATTGCGAGAGGGAGGGACAGAGGAAGGTCTGAAGTGAAAGGCGTAGAAGAAGCGCAGAAGAGAAAAAGACAAAGAAGAAGAAAAGACCTGAGATAGAGGAGATCAGGGGACTTTGTTGACGGAGGAGGAAGGCAGGTGCAGCTGCTGATCTGTCCCAGTGTAGTGTCCACATTTCTGGGTGCAGGACAGGTAGAGGCCCCTCAGGGGCTGGATCATGGGACAGAGCCTTCGTGTGGAGACCCCAGCTCAGGACCCACAAAAACACAACTATGGTGGTGAGTTTCTGGACTCACTCATGCACTCTTTGTGTACTGTGTGCACTTATTGCATTCCATTCTTACTGTTTTCGAGTTATTCAATGCCTTTAAGCATCGAGGAGAAACAAGGTTTGGAGATTGTATAATCAACTCTGCACAGTCTCCTCTCTCTCTCTCTCTCTCTCTCTCTCTCTCTACCCCCTTCACTTTCACCACCACAAGGAATGTTAAATCACTGGGATCACGTGGATGAATCTCAGCTGTGTTTTTACACTCTCATGCATGTGTTGCGCACTTATTTTCTTATCTTACAATACACAGGAAGGTGACCTTAGATATTGGAGTGATGTTTTTTTTGTTCGGGGACTTTTGGAAATAGGGATTGTGTCTGACTGGATGAGACTTTACATAAGTTTGGAGCCATTCCAACATTTTCCCTTTTGAATATTGCAGTTTTTCATATTACAGAGTGTAAACAGACCTCATTAATCTTTAATCAGAGATCATGAGTTGCATTGAGTTTGACAAAGATGAATTTATACGACAGATTAAAACATTTCTTACCTTAAATAGCTTGCTCTAATTGTATTTATTTGACGTAGCGCTACTATGCTATTGGGTTTTAAACGGTTGACTGATTTTAGGGCACACGAGATACCTCTTTGTGCTGTCAATTAAATAGATTACATTTCATAATCTGCCCTGGCAAGGGTTAGGGTTATAATAAGGTCGGAAGTGTTTCCCAACCATTGCACCGCGTGGAAGCAGGTTTCTTATGTAAGTGATCGGGTTGGCTTGGCTGGTCGATTGGCCAGAGGCCGGGGGCCCTTTAAAACAACAGTCTCCTTTAACCACATGCTCACCTGACTGGGCTGCCATGACTCATTGAATCATGAGGTTAGAGGCAAATCTGGCCTCTCCAGGACATGTTTAAGAGAGCGGTAGGTGTGGCTTCATGATAGGGGTACATCAGAGGAACACACACACACACACACACACACACACACACACACATACACACACACAGTGTCACACACCCCTGTGTTTCCTGACTGGTATGCCTTATCTTGGCAGACCTACTGATTACAGAGCATGACAACTAGTGTTCTGGTTCTGGCTTTGTTCTGAATGGAAACTTGTTTTATTTTATCTGGATGTTTTGTTAATTAGTTTCAGTGGTGTCACTGTATTGTACCTTTCTGAACTGAGTTTCCATGAGCTGTACAGTGGACTGTGTTATTGAGTGTGAGGGGAAGAGGTTGTCTTTGTTCTCGGTCACAGAATCAGGGTGGAGTGCTGTTTCCTCCCTGTGTTTCCAGGCTGGTCCCCCTCCATAAGTCCTGTACTTTTTCTGTCTTTTGTAGCTCTTTTTACCCTTTACTCCCATTCCCAGACCTCTCCTCGCTACAGCTAAAACAATGTTTTAGAGCTTTTCTCTGTATCTTTGCAGAATCATTTTGAGTTGATCCACATTTCTCTTGAATGTGGTAAGTGAGTTGGATGTACTTTTTGGGTTTTTTTTTTTTTTTGTGTCAGTGGATTGACACATTTTATAATCAGGCATCACTGGCTAATGTACAAATCTTCTAAGGATACGGCCAGTCATCTTTTTCAAACAGATGCCTGCTGCATGGGCTGAGTCGTCTGCGATCGTCATCTCTGCAGTGCTTTGGAGTGTGCAGGCCTGGCACGGCCAGCTCTTATCCTGCTTCACTGGCTTCAGCTGAGCCACTGTGTCAGAGCAGTCTGCTGTGTGAGAACCTCAGTTCTGGATCACAGGGAGGCTGCCTTAAGCAATGCTTAATCTGGATGTTATGGCAGCTGGTCTGAATCCTCAGATTTCTACCTCGCCAAGATAAGCTGGATTTCCATGGTGCGGACATGTTCCTTGAACCAGGACCCTCTGCTGTAGTTTCGAACAGTTTCCTGCAACTTGTCCTTCTGGCATTTCCTTCCTTGCTGATTTGACTGTTGGGATATATACAGGATAGTTGATCTGGGGGCTCCCTGCTTCCCCATGGCATGCTGTTTCAAGTCCCACCACCATGGAAGCTGGACGCTCAACACTCCTCTTCCAGGTAGACTAGTGTCTGTTTTTTGATAGGCTTGTCAAAAATGAAACTTTTCAGAACATACAGAGAAACTATTTTTTAAATCGTCAGTAATGCATAGACTTGGACAATTTTAATCAGATCTGTTTTGGAGGTTTTAGTCCCAGTCAGGCTTCTAAACACTACGTAAGCATTCAGTTCAGATTTTTACCCTGCCAGCAGCATTGAGGTAGCACTTTGGAGCAGCGGTTAAAGACTCTGTCCTTCAGCTGCAAAATGGGTTTGAATCCTGTGTCAGCAACCATCCACCATGCTAAAATGTCCCTTAGCAAAGATACTGAATCCCTGCCAGCTCCAGGGGTGCTGGTCCGTAGCTAACCCTGACTTCCCCCGCTGTCTGTGTCAAACGAAGAGTCAGTTTCCACTCAAGAATGACTGTTGTTGTTATTATGTTCCGTTTTTCTTTACTGGACTGCTTAGCAAGCCACATCAGTATTGTGTGAGGAGTATATTGTTGTGGGAATCAGACTGCGAGGCATTATTGTCGCCACGACATCCTGTGTGTGCTTGAGACTGGATGTTTTAAATCGGACCCTACTCTCTCTCCAATGGTAAATATTATGTCTGCCGAATGCAGCAGCTGCAGCCTTGAGAGAGCTAATGTTTGAAACTCTCTCTCTCTCTCTGAGCTCAGCACCCTGTCAGTCGGTCTGTCAAGTGCATAACCCAGAATATGTAACCATGACTCCAGCATGCCATTTATTGGAGTGCTTCAGGTCCTAATGGCATCTCATAATGATCAGTGTTCTTTAAAAGCTTTTGCACCTCGAATGTTAGCTGTACATGTGCATCATGATTGACAGCTTTTTGCTACTGCGTGATTGCATCCATGTGTGTGCCTCTCTTCCCTATAGAGGCAGTGAGGGCTGAAAGGCTGATAAGGCACTAGTCTCCATCCAGCCAAGGAATGTGAACACTTGACAGAGAGAAATCCTGGCTGAACGCCAGCGTCAGACTTCTCCTGTTAACTGTGGATATGTGGAGGAGTCCATGAGCTCTCAGCATCACCCTGCCAAAGCACACTCAGTCCCCGTGAACTAACAGCTAAAGATAATAACAGCCGTAATGAGCACGGCCTTCTTCACAAAGGCAGCAGATGAGCTCGGTTAGAAAGCCCTCCGTCAGAACATTGTGACTGCCGACGGATCTACGCTCTTTATTTTTCCACGTCTCGTTTTAAGTTGTGCAAATCTTGTTAATGCTGCTCTTCCTCCTTTTGTAGATGATGAAGCTGAGCAGCACCACGGCACAATGGTGGGAGAGGGGGGCAGCACGGGGGACAGCACCCCTCCCCCAAAGCGCAAGGGCAAGTTCTCTACCCTTGGCAAGATCTTCAAGCCATGGAAGTGGCGGAAGAAGAAAAGCAGCGAGAAGTTCAAGGAAACTTCAGAAGGTTTGTGTTGTGAACTCATTGTGTTTGTAGTGCGAGTAAACCCCCCCCCCCCCCCCCCACCTTCTTTCTCACTGGTCATATCAGTTGCATTCAGCTTTCATCAGAATTCCTCAATGCATGTGTTCCTGCCTGAATGTTACGGTCCCCTTGGCTCTCCCTGTGTTTTCAGTCCACCTACAATAAGACAATGAGCTGCTAACAAAATATCCTGAACTTGCACCTTTGGATTCTGGAGCATGAGGTCACACACTAAATATGACCGATTTTTCCTGCAGTATGTTTTCCCTCGTGGTGATCTTGAAAAAGAAAACACAGTGTGTAACGTGACTTCTCTTTATTGACGGCAGAGCTGGAGAGAAAGATGTCGACAAGGCGTACGAGGCAGGAGCTTATAGAACAGGGAGTGCTGAAGGAGGTCCCGGACAATGGTAAGAGTGCTTCTGTTATTCATCTGATCTCTCTGCACAGTGGTGTCTGCATCTGACAGTAGCAGCCCTGAGGTTATCACACCCACACAGACAGTACAGTTAAGTCATCAGTACATTATGGCAGGAACACCATCCTTCTCTCCAGCAGGTGTCTCAGACATTTAAAAAAATAAAAAATAAAAAAAACAAAAAGGTAATTTTCCTCTCACCTTGCTGTTGTTCCAAAGTAATGTAACGTCTGTTTAAAATGGTATGCCCCTCTCAAGAGCCGAGGAAAAGTGGAGCGAATTGTGCCCTGCAGCAAAACAGCTTTGAGAGGGGTGTGTGCAAGGGTTCTGCTGGCCTCACTGTTGCAGAGGCCCATTTATTAAACCTACAGCTGCTCCTTCATCACACCAACAAACACACACTCTGTCAACAGGGCTTGGGTTAAGGGCACCTTTCTGTTCTAGTGGGTGACCTGGCTCAAACTAAAGATTATTTTATTCCCGATTAATCAGGTGATTCATTTTTCTATTGTGATTTTATAAAATGTCAGGAAATAGTGAGAAATGCTAATCACAATATCTCGGAGCCCAACAGTTGGAAACCAGAAAGTATTCAATTTACAATCATATAAACCACAGAAAAGCAAGAAGATGAACCACTCTGCATCAAAATTGGGGCTTTTTATGTTCTGTCAATGAAATAATGGATTAATCAACTAATCTTTATGTGTATCACATCTAGGTTGAACAAGGGAGGGAACAGTAAATCACATGAATATTCTACACTATCAAACATGACACTTCCAGTATTAAACATGAATGATTTAGATTGGGTGAACATCTCATTCAACTCTTGCTTAATGACTCAGAATAATATTGGATCCTCTCAGTTTTATGCTTTTGTTCTTTCGTCCACCCTTTCAAGACGCAGATGCAGATTCACAAAACCTGAAGCCTCCCTACGTGAAAAATGGTCACACTCTGCCTGTGAGCGCCGGGGTCGGAGGTGGAGGCGGAGGCGGAGGAGTCGTCAGCAGTGCCAGGAGCCCATGCAACCAGAGTAAACTCCCACCTGAGTCAGACTTTAGGATGAACCCGGCCTGGCTCACCCAGCCAGACGAACGCAGGGGCCGCCCTCCCTCGGACGTAGACCGCCGGGGAGCTCTGTGCTCCCGGGGTACAGGACTGCATGAAGACGGGCGGAGAGGGGGAGGGGTGATGGGGGCACGTGCACACGGGGAGGGCGAGTGGAAGCCTAACATGGTCTGGCAGGGCCAGATTCACAGCCACATGGAGGAGGGCAGACGTGGAGGCCGGCTTCACCCCGAGGACGGGCAGAAGAGGCCCGGGCTGCAGAAGGCCCCATCGGAGGACTGCAGGAGGAGTCGGCCTATGGAAGCGGACTGGAAGCCCACACTCCCTCGACATGCATCAGCCGAGGAGGGAAGGGCCCACAGAGGTGAGTCATTTCCAATACGCCATCTGAGATCTTCCTCCAATTCTGAGAAGCTGTAATCATAAGATCCCTGTTGACTTTTCCCTCACTGTGAGAAGGAGATAAAGTGTTCATTTTACAACTTGACCTCCTTCATACGTGTTTGATAGAAGGCGATTCTTCACTCGATGTATTTTTTTCTTCCTCCCTCTTGCTGTCACTTTCCTGCTTATGTGCTGTCCTCCCAGATATAGACAGGCTCCTGTCGGCTCCCAGGGGCCCTGCTCCAGCTACGCTTCTTATTCAGGAACATGAGGGAATAGCTCGTCCTCTCTTCTCCTCTCCTAATTAATGTGGCACAATCACTACACCCATTATTGCCCTTTAACGCTTTAACACTGTCAGTTCAGTGATAATGGGTGAAGAGCCAGAGCTAATTGATTTCACTCAAACATTACACTTACACAAATGATATGTGTGTTGTGCTGTTTTTAGACATAAGTCGTCCATTGTCATGTATCTGACGCATGAACTTCTGTCATATTGAAAACACCAGTACAGAACTACTATAAGAAAAGAGAATTCTTTCTATCGACAGATTTTGAGGTGAACAGATCCTCTCCCCACTTTCCCTCATGTGTCACTGCTCGGCTCTTTTTTCTGTCTCACCTTGTTTTTTTCCCTTTTTTTTTTTTTTTCTTTTTTTTCTTTTTCTCTGATGCTGCTTTTCTCTCCCTCTCCCACTCTCTTTCTATCTTTATCACAACTCCTGCTTTCTGTCCTCCTTTTCTCTCTCTCTCTCTCTCTCTCTCTCTCTCTCTCTCTCTCTCTCTCTCTCTCTCTTCTCTGGGCTTCATGCTTACTTCCTCCTTTCCTCTGGATTATTTCCTCTTTGGTTGTATTACATCACAGTGATAAAGGCTCGTCTGTAAATAAATAACCCTCAACTTCAGAGTTGCAGCTTTGATGGATGGGGTGGCAGCAGCAGCAGCAGCAGCAGCAGCAGCTCGGGGGTGTGGTGGGGTGGGCAGAGGGAGGTGGGTTTGTGGTGGTAATTGCAGCCGCCTACTCTGTTTATCTTCACAGCTGATCCCTAGATAATGCAATTCTCAAACAAGTGCTATCACAGAGAGCGCTTGGAGTGGTGAAGCAGCAAAAAAATGGCTCACTGCTCAGTCCCTGAGCTGAAACATTTATAGCCATGTACGGAAGTATTTCATAATGAAATGTCGCTAATTCAATAATGGAAAAGATAGAAGTACACTTTGTAAATGTAGAATATTGTGTGCGTGCCACAGCTGGACACTGATTTTAAAGTTTGTTTAAATTTCTCAGTCTCAGTGGAATGGAGGGCTGTAGTTTTAAAGTTATTTATGTGGAATGAGTTTCACTTTATAACATATCCTCATGATACTGTGTTTTCATAGAGTCAGACAGCCATTTTATCCCTGACCCGGAAGCCCTGCGGAACACCCTGCGTGAACCTCTGCCACCTAAACAGCCTGTCATGCCTCCAAAATGGCTGGTGAGCCCGGCCCCTGACCCAGACAGCGAGGGTCTGCCGCGCACCCCATCCAACCACCCCGCGACCCAGTACTCCTCTCCCTCCGCCTCCTTGGCGGCGGCGTCCAAACCTGTTCGGTGCATCTCCTCTGCGGGTGCGTCCACTCAGCCGTCTTCCGCAGCCCCGACCTCCACCTCTCAGGCCACCAAGCAGCCCCCGCTGCCTCCACCCAAGCCGGTGAACAGGAACAACGCCGCCATGCTGGGTAAGTTCTGCTGAGTAGTGGCTGCTGCTGCTCGGTGATGGAGGAAGTGGACGTTATCACTTGCAGTCTACATCAACGGTCACAATGAACGCTCAAATGTCTGCTCACTTAGCATGTAGTTTTCCTCACAGTCGAATGCAGTGTGTACATTTATGAGTCCGTTGGCGAAGAGAAGCCTTCAACACAACACAAACACACACTAGCACACACGTCCTGGTAATGATGTTATCTGAACAGCTTGAGCAGCTTTTCCCCAGCTAATTACTTATTACGCCTGGACTATTTTAGCTGCCACTTTTCCAGTGTTTTACACTCTGAAGATAACAGGGACTCTTGTGGCTGTGGGCCGCTGCTCAGATGCAGAGTAGTGGTTGTTGTTGTTTACTGGGGGTTTGTCTCATCTTTCCTTAATTCCCACTCGGGCACGGCTGTCTGCTTTGATTCATTTTTATCTTAACAGCAGATCTGATGACTTTGGTACCTTACAAGTGTGTGCACTTCCGTATGATTGTATCATGCAGGGTGTATTTTAGTTATGATTTGCTGTGAGGTCTTTCTCAGATGTTTATCAGTCATGTCATCAGATAGTCATGTGGCTAGTCAATGGGAAAGAAATATTATAAAATTTCCTTTTTGTCGTCACTTGAGGATAGAAATGGATTACAGTGCGACTCACCTCGAAACCAACAGCATTTTCAGCTTCTCAAAATTTGACTACTAAGAGTAGGCCAACCAGAAATCTAGTTTAGAGAACAAAAACCTGGTGATAAAGTTGTTGACAGTTTACTGGAGCTGTCCCATAAAGTAAAAGATACTAAATATTTTAAAGAAATATTCCAGCAACTTGGGAAATTCATATATTTGCTTCCTTGCTGAGGGTTAGATGAGAGAATCGATACCACTCTCATATCATGTCTGTTAAATATGAAACCACAGTTTGATGTTTTTACACTTTGGTTTTGTATGTATTGTGTGAAGGCTAGCTCCCTCCTCCTTCTTCCAATCTTTAGGCTTAGCTAAGCTAACCTTCTCCTGGTTCATATTTAACACACAGGCATGAGTGTGGTGTTGATCTTCTCATCTAGCTCTCAACAAGAAAAGACGTGGGTGTATTTTCCACAATCCTTTGAGAAAGAACAATAGTAATTAAGAGTACGGTTGGAATTTTTGTGAATGAATGAAAGAAAGAAGAGCATTTAGCTTAATGATACCCCAACATATACACTACACCATGTACCTGCATTCATTAAACACACCAGCTGAAGGCCTCCGTCTCCTCCCTGTTAGTCTCCGCCCTGCAGGGGGGAGAGAACGCTCAGCTTCCGCTCTACTGGTCCTGCTGGAAGCGAGAGTGCGACTATGATGTCTACCTGTCCCTGCCCGTCTACCTGTGCCGACGGGCCGGAGGCCTGCGCTCAGGTAAAAAAGATGCCCTCTGGTATCTCTGTGGCCGGGGTGCCCTTGTCTGGAATGTCCTCCTTCAGAGTCTGCGTTCTTCATCATGTTGCGTCCTTTTTAGCTGCCAACAAATCCCCCCCTCCCCCCACTGCCTTTATCTTGTTGACTGGCCTTGATTGCTTCTCTTTGGGTGTGGTATACAAGAGCCGCATGCACATAATGAGCTGATAATGAGTGTGCTGGGTGCTTTGTGAATCTGAGAGAGAACTTCTGTGTGAGAGAGCAGTTGAGTGTTTTCAATGCTGTACTATTTGGCATGTGAATGAGAAAGAGGCTTTGGCGGGTTCCAGCTGTGGTCTGCAATGCATCAAGTGAATTTTATAGCGCTAATCCACTCAGCTCCTGCTCAACTGGGATGGATGGGTGGATATGTATGGATGGATGTGTGGTGGGGCGAAAGGGTTCTAACATAAGGGCTTGACTTAATTTAGAGAGAAAGATGTAATCCAGTTCAGTCTTGTCTGCTGCATGTTTCAAGTCCGGCACTACTGATCTCTTATTATGTCTCAGGAGCACGGCTATGGCTTTTAACATTGATGCTGCTTTAAAGCCATTCTTCAGAGTTTTAAGAATCTAATGGCAAATATACAAATGTGCATGCAAATAATTTGAGGGTTTGCATTTGAGCTTTTTGCACTTTAAATATGCTAATAAACGAGATGTGACAGCAGGTTTATAATCTGGCTGTGTAGAGCATGTAGGCTGAATGTATCTCCTTTGTCTCTGTGACCTGGGGCACATGCTGCACACTGGTCTGTTAGGGCAGTGTGTGCATTCATGTTCACACGGTCATGTGATGTGACCCCACTGTATGTACGCAATAATGCTCAGTCACACATGTAATCCCAGTATTTCTATCCGCTCATGTGTATTCTGCCATGTTGGTTACATGTATGGCTGATGTATGTGCACTCAAGTCACAGCAGCAAACTAGATAGACTGTTTTGCCTTATGATTGGATGAGTGAACAGTTTTTCATTTGCAGGTGACTTCAGCCAAGCCACCGGGGGTGCCAGTCTTATGCCAGCCAAGCCCTCTCCACCGATGCCCCCGAAAAGGACAACCCCCGTCACCAAACGCAATATGGAGGACTCCTCTGCCTCGAGCCATCCCATTAACCCCTCACCGCTCTCTCTGGAGGACCACAGCAGCCTCCCTGTGGGCTTCCAGCTGCCTCCACCTCCTCCCTCCCCTCCCCTGCCAACTCACATACCACCTTCTCCACCCCGGCAACACATACACACCCACCACCTCCACCATCAGCATTCCTACCCCCACCCCCTGCCTCAACCTATACCCATGCTGTTTGACCCACCAAGCCCGACCAATGAGTCTCCCCAGCGCCCGGCTCCTGTCCCGCTGCATATCATGATCCAGCGAGCCCTGTCCAGCCCCGGCCCGGCTCAGCCGCATCCAGACGGGTTACAGCGTGCACACACTCTGCTTTTTGAAACCCCTCCGGAGTACCAAGGAGATCGCAGTCGCCCCCTGCCTGTCAGCATCCAACCACTAAAACTGTGAGTCTCTCTGCACGTGATAATGGCAGAACTTCTGTCGAAACAGAATCACAAGTCAGTGCAACCAAAAACAAGGTCAATGAACAAAGAGGAGGGAAATATTAATTTAATATTATGTCTTTCTGCAGTGTTTCTATATACATATGAGCCAGCTTTGCATGTGACCTTACATAACCTCCACATCCATTTTTAAGCCATTTAGAGCTGGGAAAAAAATCTTACCGTAATCATTGCAAAGTCACGTGTAGCTAGAAGAGTGAGGGTGTGACACGTCTTATGGTTAGACTTGAGTATTTAATCTTGTTGTTTGGATCCATAAATTTTAATTTGGAAAAACTAATGTAAAATGTGTCAGTCTTGTTTAGGTGCAAAAGTGCTCAAATAAATACACACAAACGGATCCATAATGATTATGTATATATTAAATTTCTCTTTCCATTAGATCTGAAGATGACTACTCAGAGGAGGAGGAGGAGGAGGAGGAAGAGGAGGAAGATGACGAAGAAGAGGAGGAGTACGATGGGGAGATCCCCCAGCCGGAGCTGGAGCCACGGAGTCGCCGGTGCTTGGTCGGTGATGCGGGTGTTTGTGTCATCCCAGGGGGAAATAGCAGCGATGAGGAGGAGGATGAAGAAGAAGAAGAGGAAGAGGATGAGGAAGACGAGCATGACATGCACGAGGAAGACAGCGACTCGGACGGTCCTGTGCTTCATAAAGATGAAGACTCAGATGAGGATGAGGAGGATGAACCCCCACCTAGTAAGCATGACCAAATTTAATCAAAATATTAAAACATTATTTAGAGTTTTTGCAGTGATTTGTGCTCCTGACCACATCTCTCTGCTTGGCTTTGATCCAGGTGCCCTGGCCAGCAGGGTCAAGAGGAAGGACACTCTGGCTCTGAAGCTGAGCAGCCGTCCCTGTGCTCCAAACAGGGACAGGTTCACCCAGGACAGGAGCAGCAGAGACGACCAGCCTCCAGGACAGACCGGCCTCACCTGGCAGAGCAGGGAGCAGTGGGAGGCCATCCGCACACAGATCGGCACTGCACTCACAAGGTAAAGACAGGCATTGTCGTACTTCTGTGCATATTCCATTGCCTTTTTGTATCCTTTAAACCAACGAGAGTGAATGTGCATTTCCTGAATAACTCAGGCGATCGTCTCTCAGATCTTTGTCCTACTTATTGCCTGAATGACAAAGTGATGAAACTGTGTAAAAATAGTGCTGCTCTTATTTTCTTTTTTCTTCAGACGACTTAGTCAGAGACCCACAGCCGAGGAGCTCGAGCAAAGAAACATCCTTCAGCGTCAGTATCAAATCTTCCCTTTTTTTATCCATTACTGAACCTAATAATGCCACCAGTGAAAAAGATTCTGTGTTGATTGCTTGACGTACACTTAAACAAAACTCACAGCTCAGCTTAGTCCAGCCTGATTGTTTTGTCTTGTTTTTGTAATTATAGCCAAAATCTTAATATTCCTGAGCCATTTCTTTGCAATGTATAACAAAATCAGATTTTTACACACAATAATGACACTTGAAAAGATTGTTTGAAACATGGATCACAGTTTAGATGTCTAATTTTGGAAGCAGCTTTTACTTTACCTTTCCTGCACATCAAACCAGGCTTTCATACCCGAGTTAAATTAAGCTCTGCTGATTGTTTTTTCTCCCCCCTTGTTCTTTCTTCAGCCAAGAATCAGGCTGACAGACAAGCTGAGGTTAGAGAGATCAAGCGGCGGCTGACCAGGAAGGTGAGGCAACACATCCACAACAGACATCCAAGTGTCAAATCATGGATTTGCTTGATATTAAACAGAGATACAAAAAAAACTTTGTTTATTGTAGCTGAGTCAAAGACCCACAGTCGCAGAACTACAGGCGAGAAAAATCCTGCGGTTCCACGAGTACGTGGAAGTCACAGACGCCCAAGACTATGATCGGAGAGCAGACAAGCCGTGGACTAAGCTGACTCCAGCTGACAAGGTATGCATTCAGTGTGTCATCTCCAGCAACTGCTAAACAAACTCAGTAAATGCACCCAATTCATTTCCCTGTAAAAGATTGTGTTTCACATCATATTAGCATCAGTGCAATGGTTCCTTTTTAAAATCACTTTTAACTGACAATTTCTTTCCTGTTGTTTCGGCAAGGCGGCTATCCGGAAAGAGCTCAATGATTATAAGAGCACTGAAATGGAAGTTCATGAAGAGAGCAGAATTTACACAAGGTATACCTTCATCAGTGGGATCGTGACATTAATATCCTTCAGATTTCAGTCCTGGTCGATTTGGTGACACCTGCGGTTTCATACTACAGCAAATACACCTTGTTACTCTTAAGTACTTTATCAGAAATACGACAGAAGAACAGCTGGTGTATCTATTTACAGGCCTATCCTCAATAACAAATACACCGTGTTTCCTGTGACTGTTTCACAATAAAATCCACCCTGTGTTTCAGCTAAACACTTTTAATGTGAATTATCAGTGGGAAAAGTTTGCATTAGCAGTAACAATACTGCTCTAGTGAGGCTGATAGTGATACTATAACACTGGATTACACACATGCATCGTTTCTTGTGAATGATTCCCTCATGCATGTGAAGGAAATTTAAATCCAGAATGGCAATGGCGGACTGCGCCACTAACAAGGAAAACTACTATAATGAGACGTAATTACAGAATGTTTATACATTGAATGGCTATTTCTCAAATATGCTCACCATAAAAAGCAACAAAAAGGGTGTGATTTCATTGAAAATCTAAAGGATGATAACTTCTAACAGAACTTGAACGTCTGTTAATGCCTCATGAGATCTTTGTTTTGTTTCATTTAGGTTTCATCGGCCTTAGCGTCTGCGTCCCCCCCGCCCCTTCTTCATGGATAGTGAAGCACTTAAGATCTCTGTGGCAAGAGGCTGCTCCCTATGCAGACTGATGGCCCTTTATGTTTCTCGAATGTACTGTACAGATCATCAGGAAAAGCCTGGAACTGACTCAAAACAAGAATGCTTCTCGCTTGCCCTCCATCGCCCTCTCACTACATTGCTATCACTTAACTGAGGCGGTGGTGGGTGAGGCCCCCAGATGCAGTATTTCTCCCGGACGACAGGGGGAACCACGTGCCAATGAAGTGGAGAAGTGGCAGAGGACCTACAGGGCTTATTCTCACTCTGCTGTTATGTGGTACCCCTCAGGGACTTGGATCTAGTTACAACCTTTAATGCGGCCTCATTCTGTGTTGCCTTTTTTCTTCTTTACTGTATATGGAAAAGCTAATTCATCTTGTTAATCTAATAACATACAATAATAATAGTAATAATAATGATGATGACTTATAATACTCCACACAGTAATAATAGATAATAGGGACAAACGGCAGCAGCGAGAGCAGGCTGGAGAATGAAGACTGGGATATTCTGTTTTAGGACTGGACATCTCTGGGATATTGTATGTGTTTTATATTAATTGTGTACAGACTGCTATTGTGATACCTTAGAATGAAACTTGGAGCGATATAATTACAAAATAATCTGTAATGCACAAGATATTTTATATTGTAATTTTGATCACATGAGTAGTGACAGCTTTTATTTGAGCCATTTTTTTTTTTTTTTTTTTCTTGGTTTGTTTTTTTTTTTTTTTTGGCTTGCCTGTATTTATGGTTGTGATGTGAGGTGGCCATTTAAGCATCAATCTAGGTATAAAAAAAGGTGCAGGTCAGGAGGCTGTTGGTGTTTTTATTTGTGCCAACATACTCAATGCCTAAAGGACTATAGAAGGCTGGTTTTCATATCACTGATTTCTGCAATCCACTGCATGAGCCAACACAGAATCCAGCGCCACTGGTTCTGGATAATCTCTCTTCATTTATACTTTTTTATGAGTTTTTGTACTTCCCTTTAAAGATCAACCATGCAATGCATTCTGTAGCCATTTTGAATAAGGTCATGCTAGTAGTGTCTATACTAAGAGTTAAATGTAAGTTGCTGTGAGTATAGATCAGGGATTTATCAAAAAATCAGAAAATGTATAAACGGTCAACAGGGAGTAATTTTGGCTGGAACCTTCTGACAATGCAGAAGTGATTTATCTTGTATTGTTGTCTGGCCAGTAGCTTACAGGGTTCTCTATGCTGTGTACAGGTTGATATAGGTTTAACTGATGCTTGTGTATATCTTGTCTTCCTTTCATTTGAAAAGAAATTTTAAATATAAAAGTATTATAGGTTGCTATTTTTTTAAGCACAGAATATTAGTTTATGATTAAATGCTACAAGAATGGGAATATGAAAGTGTACCTTTTCTGTAAAACTAAGTTCATTTTTAATTGAATGTGGAATTGTATGGACTGACAGTTTTCTTTTTAATTGTAAATAGTCACATCTGGATCTAATTAAAAATCTTACAATTCCTTGAATCTTATGTGCAATGACTGTCCCTGGCTCAAATCAATAGATCCATCTTACCTATTGATGTTGTAGGGACAATTTAAATTGGAACCAAAAAGTGAAAATATGAGGCTGCAGTGACACCTGGTGGCAGGTGAGTTGAGGGGGGGGGGTCCATTATTGTGAAGAGCCAAACCTTCCCTGGAGATGGCTTTAGATGCATTATGAATAAAGAGAGTGTCTATCTGAACCTTGGAATACATTTGGTATTCTAAATATACACCCCTGAGGTTTACAGCAATACATTTTGCAAACAGTGAAATGGAAATCCTATGATGAGGCAATAATGGGAGGTAACAAAGTTGCGTATTTTCAGCAGCAGAGTAAATTGACAAATTATGACAACATATATTTGCAATTGCAAAACAGGACTAGAATGTAGACTCACTGCGTGATGATACAAAAAATAAATGACTTAGTATAGGAAAATATTCATGCATAACATATAAGGAGTGAAATAAACAGTCTCAAAATAGTGACTGAACTGAACTAGAACCAATTGGATTACATCCAGGTATATGCTGGCCACAGTTCACCATGTCATGTATACTCTTGTTTGTAATTTGCCAGTCTGGGGTGATTGCACGTAACTCGAGTGTCTCTGTTTTCCTCTTCTTTTACTTTTACTCTACCACATATATTTGACAACTATAGTGACTAATTACTTTGCAGATTAAAGTTTTAATATAGCACATACAAACTTCTGAAATACAAAAGAAGTTATAGTTTAATATATAATTATTGACAATAGAGATCTACATTATAAGAGATAAAGATTATAGATTGCACTACATAACAGTGGTTTAAAAAGCATTAACATTACTACATAATCAGTACTTTTATTACTAGTTTTAAGTACAACTCTAAGGAAGGCTACTTGTATTTTACCTGATTAGGTCAATAATACTGTAGGCTATACTATACTTTAACTCCACAAAATTTCAGACATACTGTAATTATTGTCCTTTTGACTTCACTACATGTATTTCACAGCTGAAGTTCCAACTTACTTTTCAAATCATGATCTTATATACTACTGGTCAAAAGATTTAGAACACCTCCATTTTTCCAGTTTTTACTGAAATTTAAAGTTGAATGTCTTCATGTACTATTAATCTTTGTAATTACAGTTAAAGCATTTACATTGGTAAATGATCATACTTCATTCACCATTGATTATTAGTACTGAGTAGTTCTTCAACCACTGATTATTAGTACTTTTACTTCAGTTAATGGTCTGAGTACTTCCTCCAACACTGATTATTATTATTTTTATTTCAGTAAATGGTCTGAGTACTTCCTCCACCACTGATTATTAGTACTTTTACTTCAGTAAATGGTCTGAGTACTTCTTCCACCATTGATTATTAGTACTTTCACTTCAGTAAATGGTCGGAGTACTTCTTTCACCGCTGGTTATTAGTACTTTCACTTCATTAAATAAGTACCACTGACTACAGGTTTGAATGCTACTGTCTCTTTAAGGTTCCAAAAAAAGTGACGTCTCGCGTGTGGTGCGTGCCTCAAGACCGGGAATTGCGCACGTTCGCTACTAGGCAAACTACAGACTTCTACATATCTCAGGTTGGTAAATTATCAGCTCATAAACTGTCCAACTGGGAAAGACATATAATAATAAACACTACTTAATCGATGTATATGCAGTTCATTCAATAAATTATATTATTGTGGTTCATTCATTTCCGAATGTCATGCTAATTCCGCTAGCTAGTTAGCTGGCTCGCAGACAGTTAGCCAGTGTTATGTAGACTAGCTATACTTAAATGCGAGTCCACTAACATTGGTTATGAGTTTAAAACGTGACTTTTGTATCTTACGTTCAGATTTTTTATTAGCCGGCTGTGTCACCTTTATTTATGGTCAAGAATTAGACTGAAGGGCAGCCGTGTGCAGCTAACGTTAGGTAAAAATGTTAGCAAGGACACATGGAAAACTGCCAACGTTAGATCACGCTGCTTATTTTACACTGTGCGCTTAAGTTAAATGTTAATGCACTGACAACCCTCTCTAAACATGTCCTTGGGAAAAGTTAGTGTCTAACATGAAAGCTGAGTGTGGTTCCAATGTAGATTGTACCCGAAGTGGTCATGTTCATGCCAGCATGGTGGCAGAGGAAGCACAACTGTCTGTGGGGTAAAGGAACCTGACACTGCCAGCCATTGAAATGAGCCTCTGACAGCTGTTGAATCCTAACAGGATCTGGTCAATGCTATGACCAAAATAAAGACTGATTGTGCCTGTGGGTCCACTTGGTTTGTTGTAGGCTTGTGAGTTTATGAGAAGGTCTATATTACTCCACATGGTTATGCCTTGCACATAAAGCCCCACATCATTGTTATTGATATTCAGTGTTGTATGCAGGAAGGTGACATTTTTATATTAGCATGAGCTTGTTTTGTCCAGCCATCAGTCTAAAACCCAAGGACATTCCATTTACAGTGATTTTTAAATAGAGGAAAAAAGGGCATTTTTGCTTGATGCCATTACAGATCATCAGTAATATTGTTCAGCTGGCAACATACATTATTGTTTGAAACTATCCTATGGTTTTCTCTGAATGTAAACCTATGTACATAGAAGGTAGACCATATTAAATATTTTATGTTCAATATCCATCCAATCTATCATGTGTCTTTGTCCACTGGCCTTTGAGGAAAAGACAAAGCTCCCCACGCATAGTGTTTGCTTAGATTGGGCCATAGAGGTTCTGATACAATTCTGTTGTATTTTTTAGACTTTTGTTGCATTTAGCACCACCAGCTGTGCAATTCAGTGACTTTAACCCCTGGTAGGTTCTTAAAATCTTACACCAGTCTCTTCTTATGTTTCTCCCAAAGCTTTTCTTGAAGAGTTGCTGTCATGCCTGCTAAAAAGACTGCCATCAAGAGGAAGTCTGAGGCTATTGTGGAGGATGATAAAGACCCCAAGAAAGTGAAAGGTAAGTTAATGGCCTTTTGTAAAAAGGGGGTTGAAAAAGGCTTGACTGGATCAATGTCTCTGCTCATGGATAACAAAACAATGTTTTTTTGTACGTTTATTAACTTGCTAGCCCAACTGAGACATAAAAATATGCTATAGATGTATTTCTAACTTGAGGAATCAAATTAAAGAGCTGTTAAGATAACAATACACACCCAGTTTATGTTAGGAAAACATGTGGCTATAAGAATGTTGCACTGCACCATCACAGCTTCAACAAGCTGCCTCATGTACCGGGACTGTATTTTTATTTTTCATTTATGCTACAGTCAAGTTTGTAAGACCAATAATGTGTGTGTGTATGTGTGTATGTGCCAGTTTCCCATAGGAGTCATTCCAAGGAAGCGGGTCAGGTTCTTGTTTTGGGCCAGGGTGATGTTGGACAGTTGGGTTTAGGTGAGGACATCATTGAGAGGAAGAAGCCAGCCCTTGTTTCCTTGCCAGAGAAAATTGTGCAAGTGATAGCTGGAGGCATGCATACTGTGTGCCTCAGCGACACTGGCCATGTAAGTGAATATGTCTTATTTCTTTTAAAAATTGCATGTCTAATTTCCTTCTAATAATTTAACTAAGGGTTTTAATTTAGATAAAGTGATTTGGTTTTTGTTCCCTCCAAGGTCTATACATTTGGCTGTAATGATGAAGGGGCCCTTGGTCGGGACACAACAGAGGAGGGGTCTGAGATGGTTCCAGCAAAGGTAACACTGGAGGAGAAGGTGGTCCAGGTGTCAGCAGGGGACAGCCACACAGCTGCACTCACAGAGGATGGAACTGTGTACATCTGGGGCTCCTTCAGGGTTAGTTACCTGCTGTTTTCAGCCACAGAGGCCTGTGTTTGGAAGTGTGTATGTTTGTGTGTGAGCAAGATTTTTCCTACAACCATTTAACTACTATTTTTATAACGTTTTGTAGCTTCCTCTACCCACAAAACTTAGGAGCACCAGTACTAATGTTCACCTTGCACATATGCCTGACCGTCACAGACGCTCAGTATGCGCAGTTTGAGGCCAGTCTTTTCAAAAGACATTTTCCTTCAGGATAGATACAAAGCACTTATCAGCTGGCACACAGCTGGTCAGAATAATTCACTATTCTTTGAGGTATGTCTCTATTTTGCAGCATTTTCTGAATCATGACAATTGACATATTCTATATAATGTATTTAAATGATATCATATCCCATGTTTAAAAAGGAGTGAGCTGATAATTTTAAAAAGCCAAGCACCATACCATCATGTATTATGCATGACCTAAATACGGCAGTCTCCAATATTGTCTTTCTGGCTTTTGATAGAGTCAAGCAACCAACTTCAGTTATACTCAACTGACTCGATGAATGACGATTTATAATCTGCAGTATATTGTTCAGGTGCATTTTCTTGTAACAGTCACCTCATCACTTTTTTTCCTGTCCCAACTTTTCTGCATGTTTAATTATTTTTTTAATAATTAATTAAATTAATTAAATAATTAATTAATTTTTTTTTTTTTTAGTATTATTATTATTTGTTCTATGTCAGTGGTATCAGTATCTTATTTCCTTTCAGCCCCATTTGGGGTAGGCCCTATATAAATATTTACGTAAAAGCTGAAATGAAAGTAGAATTACTCTTGACTGGAACCCCAGAAAATTACACAGAATAACCTGCTGACTGTTGTGAACTTGAGTCTGAACATATTAATCCTTTCCCGTCCAGGGCTTGTCCATCTCTACTCAGTACAACATCAACAATTTTGCAGACATTTGGATGTATAATTAACCAGTAGCTCCTTCTCCTCCTCCTTATTATCATCATCATTTCTATTATTATTACTGTTTGCAATAAACCAATCAAAATGTTTCTCTCTTTCTCTCCAGCTCATAACAACAGTGCAGCCTAACTTAATGTTTAGCACTTTGCTGGTTTTCTTTGATTTCTAATTCCAACCCTCCCACCTCAGCCTGCACAGCAGGAGCTGGGAAGCCTTAAACAGTCTTACAAATACAAAACCTAAATCAGCTTTTCAGCTTTTTCCAGCTCAATCACTTTATCCTCAATTTCATATTTTTTCTAACATCAAGCTTTTATCACCACTGACAACTTGAATCCTCACATATTCTCCTCCTTTTCACTTCATCAATTCTTTTATTGTCATGACTTGTTAATCTGTCCACCCTCCCTTTTCTCACAGAGCTATAGGAAAAATATCCTTGATCATTATGGTGAACAGTAAATGACTTGTATCACTTTGATTCCAATTAACTTTCATTCCTCTTAATGTGAGCGCAAGAGCAGATTCATTTCCTGTAATAACATCTCTTCTAGGCATCTCACCATCATTCAAGTACTCCAGGCTCTCTCTGCCCCCTCCTCAATTATCAAACCAATTGCATGCCTTGCTAATGCCACCCCCAAATTATCTCGCTCCCCCAAATCTTAGTATGGAAAAATCCTTGGAAATCTTTTCTGTTCTATTGGTTGTTATACTTGAATATAACAATTTCTTGGTCAGCTACACATCTCCTACTGCAGTATAAACTCTCGATCCAGTTTTTTACCCAACATAGTGTTTGAAGTGTGTGTGTGTGTGTGTGTGTGTGTGTGTGTGTGTGTGTGTGTGTGTGTGTGTGTGTGTGTGTGTGTGTGTGTGTGTGTTTATATATGTATATGATGTATGTGTGTATATGTAATATATCTTCTTGTCTATTACACATCAGTTTATTTTCATAACCCTACACACCTATTTATACCCTGTAGCTCAGACCTCCCCAAATGCAGCATGCTATGGGCTTGGGAAAAATAGGACTTCACATTTTAACTCATGAAAGAGAAAAGTGAAGCAATTCAACCATAGTTTGACGACCTTTCGTAAAGCCAGTCCTCACTGTTTTCCTCTCTCAGCACTTATCACTCCTCCTGTGAGAGAGCTCATCGGAGTTTCATTATTATACTCAGTGGCACACTGGCAATTACATCTCTATTACCTCTGCCTACCTTCAACATTCCCTCTTGATTTTTGAGGGTGATAAAATTGACTCTGTGTGAAACTCTGTAACCTCTGCTTTGAAAAATTCTTCAAACAATGTTTTTATGTGGGTATTACAGTACTAGGAAATACTGTAATATTGACATTGACACAAGTAGTGAATACAAAAAATGACTACATAGACTAAATTGCATTTATTAATACCATAGTCTGATTTTCCTGTTTGCAATCTTGCATTAATGCACTACTCAACTACTGCTGCTGCTACTACTACTACTACTACTACTACTACTACTACTAATGCACCATTAAAGGTATTTTGAATGGTGTTGTATGTTCATTGCAAGTATGTGCAAGTCGTGTACTGCTTGACCCAGCTCGGTTGTTATTGTTAATGGAAGAATCCAAAAAAAAGAAAATCATAACATTTTTTGGAAAAACATACAGTAGCACTGCAAATGTCCCCTGAAGATGAAGCGATGTTCCCAGTATGATGTATCATCATAACATTACAGCAAACACCAGAATAGTCACATTTACAGCCTGTATTTTTTATAACTCAATATGAGCATTGCATATCTCTGGGTTAAACCCATAATATTCTGGACCATTTTTTTCCCAGGATAACAATGGTGTCATAGGTCTTCTTGAGCCCATGAAAACATCTCCTCTTCCAGTTAAAGTCCCCATGACAGAACCTGTTGTGAAAATTGCATCAGGTAAGAAATAGTCCACTTCTGTGCCATATGCTTTTATTTGTTCGTTGCGTATTAACTTCTAACAATGTTTCTTTAATAGGTAATGATCACCTGGTACTGGTAACAGTCGAGGGAAATCTTTACACATCAGGCACAGCAGAACAGGGGCAGCTGGGAAGAGTGCCTGAGCATTTTTCAAACAGAGGAGGCAGGAAAGGCCTTGGTAAGTATCATAAGCCGCTTATAAAAGCGTGGAAGATTTTACATTGACATTACTCTATGATTTGTCATTGACCATAGATGTTTTCTTTCCTTGTGTGTTATGTATGTTAGGTGGTGTTCTTATTTACTGTGATTTCTGTCCTGTGATTTCAGGCCGGCTGCTGGTACCACAGATGGTAAAAGTCAAAGGGAAAGTTCACTTCACTGATGCCTTCTGTGGGGCGTACTTCACTTTTGCTGTATCAAAAGAGGGACATGTGTATGGATTTGGCCTCTCCAACTATCACCAGTTGGGTCAGTATGGCACGTCAGTGTGTAGTCATTTGATAATGTGAATTGATGCAACTTTAACTATAGTGCTATCTAACCTGAGTTTATGGTTAGCTAGAAGTCAGTTGCTCACACTCTATTGAATCAGACATTATGTGTTTATTGTGTGTGTCCTTACACCTATTTTTTATTCGACTGACTAGGCACTAAAAGCACCAAGATGTGTTTTGTCCCAGTAAAACTGACGTGCTTCAAGAACTCTACCACGTCTTGGGTTGATTTCTCTGGAGGACAACATCACACTCTTTGCCTTGATGCTGAAGGTAAAATGCAATTAACTGACCATATTTGACTCAGACATTTATTGACTGACACTTAAAATCTGTCCGGAAAGAATTACAAAGACTGATAAGTATCTATTACAACTTACGAGTTTTAAGTACAAAAGTAATATACAACTGATGTTAGAAGTCATGTTCTAGCACTAACACGGGTCTCAGCAGAGGCTCTGGTAACAGCCTGGGCTCCAGACATTATGTTTTTGGTTTGTCCGTCCGTCCGTCCCATTCTCATGAACATGATATTTCAGTAATGCCACAATGTTTTCAAATTTAGCACAGACATTCACTTGGACTTAAGGATGAACTGATTACAATTTGGTGGTCAAGGTCACTGTGACCTCACAAAACTTTTGTTTTCAGCCATAACTCATTAATTCATACTCTTCTGGCCATTAATAAATGGCCACTAATTAATGCAGTAACTAAATTTCCTGCAACTTGGCTGGTCGGCAGAGGCATAGAACCATGAGGCGGTAATTCTAGTTTGTGATTCAACAATATAACCCAAACAGAATGGTTGGAAAAAAGGCAATATACAAACAAAACATGAGGCATAAGTCACGTTGAAAGTTTCAAAATTATATAAAAACACAAGTAAAAATTGGACCATGTTGAAATGATTCTCTCTTCCTCATCTCTCAGGACAGGTATATAGCCTGGGCAGAGCAGAGTATGGTCGTCTTGGTCTTGGCCAAGGGGCTGAAGAGAAGAGTGAGCCCACACCTGTGATGGGGATGGAGCTGGCTAGTGGTGTGACATGTGGGGCATCAGTCAGCTACGCTGTCACCAGAGAAGGTGAGAAACAAAGCAAAGTGCAGCAGGGAGCTGAGTGACTGCTTTCTGAGTCTGTGTGAGTGTTTACTGCTTGCTTTTAAGGTGGCGAACTGCAACAAGTCCTCATACTTTAAAAATTAGATTTGTCATTTCTACAGTTCAGGTGAGGAAACGGTCACCATTCTTTCAGTACAGCAAAATACAGCACAGACAAACAGCCTCTTGTGTCAGTCACACTTTTTCTACGCACAACCATTCCCAATGAACTACTCTCTGACAGGTTTTACAACAGTAAAATAGCAGCCTGCTTCTTCTGCCTTTGTTATTTACATAGGCCCATCATTAATCACTCGATAGCAAGCTGTTCTTTGTCAGGAAAACAAACATCCGTTTCAAGTATAGTTCGATGTAAAGCAAATATCCGTTATTACTGCAAATTCTCTGTACTGCTAGCTGATATGAATTGGATTTTTCCAGCTGTGTGTCAGCTGTATTTGTGCAATATTTGAGCTATGTGGGTAAACAAAAAAGGATGCTCAGTCCTCTTAATGTTGGCTGTGCTTCCAGGATCTGTGTATGCCTGGGGCATGGGCACCAACATGCAGCTTGGCACGGGAGAGGAGGACGACGAGTGGAGCCCCGTGAAGATGACAGGCAAACAGCTGGAGAACCGTGCAGTAATGATGGCCTCCAGTGGAGGGCAGCACACAGTCCTTTTGGTTAAAGACAAGCAGGAGAGCTGATGTCCATCTCTGGCAGAGAATGACGGGGGAGCTTTTGATCTTTTTCAAGGTGGGGCCTTGCCTATATGTAGGGAGGGGGTTAATCTGTACGTGACTTCCTGTGCTGAGCCGAGGGAGTGTGAGAGGTGCAGGGCGAGGGGAGAGGTTCAGCCCCTTTTACAAGAACTCTGTTCTTCCTAGTGGGGAAAATTTTTGTGGATGTTCGGTAGATCATGACAAATGAGAGACTATTTTTTTAAATCTAGTTTTTGATGTTCCCTTTGAATTAATCTCATTAAAATTCACCAGTATGACTGTAAGATGGCATATGTGACGTGTTTGTGAATGTGACTGCATGTACGTAAAGGAAAAGAGAGCGCAAGCCTTTTAATGACTTCCCCAAACAATAGTCTTTTTAATGTGTTTTTTTCCTTTTCTTTAAAGCAATAATTTCATTGACCTTGGTTCAGACAGGACATTTATACTCGGTGAGTTTAATATGTGAGACTACTGTTATTCTACCTAGGGCACACGAAATTGTTGTGGCTATTTGGACATTTGGTAACGTGTATCCTGCATTTTGTTGGTTTCCCTGTCTGAAAATAAAGATAACATTTTAAGTTTTTAAGCCTTTTCTTAGCCTATGCATCAACTATGTTGTGACTATTTTCGTAATCAATTACGTGATATTTTTAATTGTAGTAGTAGTAATGATAGTTATTTTCCAATCTAAAATACCAAAAATTCACTGGTTCCAGCTTATCAGATGTGAGGATTTGCTGCTTTTCCTTGACTTATATGACAATATGCAGGATGTCTTTAGGTTTAGACCATTGGTTGGACAAGAAGTGTATTTTCAACTCTGGGAAAATGTGATGGACATTTTGAACCAGTTTCTGACATGTTGACAACAGTAAGTTGACTAATCCATAGTATCCATAGTAACTTTTAATATCTCCAGTTTGAGGATGCGGGCACAGTTTGTTGTTCACATCTTTACTACCTTAGAGGAGCTGTTTGACTATTGCTACATAGCCAACATTAGCATTAACATCTATTTTCTTACCAGTCTTGAAGAAACATGAAGCATCAAACTTCATTCCTTTACTTGCCTAGAGCTGTCTCCAGCGGTGGAGAGCAACCCTCTTGTTTTGCATCTATTTCTGTCTCTTTTCTTCTACTGAAGTAAACAAGCTAACCAGCTATCCCAGGGCCACTCGGTAAGCGTTGTCACTTTTAGATACTGAGTCACTGTGCCATCCAGTCTGCACTGAAGAAGTAGCACCTCTCAGAGGGTGTTTTATGACCTCTTGTCTTGTGAATGCAAGGATGGCTGAAGCTCTTGGCAAGACTGGTAAGTAAACAGCTATTAAAGCTTAGCTTGGCTATGTACCAATAGCAAAATATACCAATAGCAAAATATACAAATAGCTCCTTTAAAGAAAAAAACTTTAAAGTTAGGTCTGACCTTATTGCTGAAACCACCGCTGCAGGGAAGGAGCGAAACACAGTTGCGTTTCAGTCCGATCTGATTATCAGTGCCTTTCATCTTTGCAACAGAGCTAATTTAATTTAGACAATTATATGTTCATTAGTACAGGGCATTATCATCAGTTCTACAGACATGTCAATTTTCAGCCACTGGAAAAAACATCTGCTTTGCTTGCGTATGGGCACAGCTGCCCAGCAGTTGCACCCTAGTTGCTTTAAGTCTATTATGGATGGAAACACCGCATTCCATACGCGTGGAGTCATGAATGTAAATCAGAAACACTTAAGGATGCAAATGATGGTACAAGTACATACATCAAAGCTACATGCCTTTGTGTTTTATCTGGGGTGAAATGCACAGGGTCCTTGTTTGTCTCATCTTGCTTTCATCTGACCAAAAGAGCCGATGATGAAGTACAAGGGCTGAGTTCTGTGAAAAGCCCTTGTGGCAAAAAGCTTCTCAAAAAGCTTTGAAATGCTAAAGTGTTTTTCATAAGCAGTTAATTGATCAGAGTGAATCTCTTCCCTTGTTTGTTTCTCTGCCCGGCGATGGATCTTGTACAGTGGCTGTTTTTAAAACAAGATCGATGATTGTGCTTAACTGTTTCCGAGGCTTCTGTTTCGTTTCGGTGTAAACACTTGAATCTGAAATGATTCTGGATACTGAAGGAAAGTCAGCTTTCTATATCACAGCTGGAATGTATTCTGCAAATGTTTTAAGAGGTTCGAGGTCATCATCATACATTTTTTTTCTTTTTCTATCATAGTAACTACTAAAGACCCACTATAATACCTCACAAAAAGATATTGTCTTAAACATTTTTAACTGAACGAAAGCCATATAGTCTGCTTTGGAAATAACTCAACCAAAAAGATAATTTGACATTTCACTCTGTGTACTGTGACTGCAGTTTTGGATACTTTCACTGATGAGTCAACCAACCCCTTAATATTTTTTAGACATTAACATTATCTTGCTTGAAATTTTGCCTCAGTTCAGTAATGAGCTGCTCTAGTGCCAAACACCAAGCTGAGGAAAACATTCAGTCATATTATGATGCATGCAAATACTTGGAAGTAATGAAACCGTTTAAATGACCTTTAGACATGCATCATTTTTTTTTTTAACTCAGCGTGTGAATTTTAAGTCACATTTTGTTTTTGGATAATTTCCTGAAACCTCCAAACCACATTAGATGTTTTAAACCTGTTATAAAATGTAGTTGTTGTGTTACCTCTCTTTGGTTCTGCACCTTAAAAACCTCCAAGACCTCAGACCTCCAAACAAAACCATTCTCTGCGTAAACATACTGAAAGTTAAATGGGACTGATATAAGGCGCGGGGTAAAGATGGTTGTCTATGACATCCGTTAACAGCTTCACAGATGTCAAAGATCCACAGACACCTCATACATTCCGAGCAGAACGAGAGAGATTCATGCAGGAATTCAGACATCCTGTGATTAATTCCTTTCACTCATAGAAAGTATAACAGGATTTTTCATAATGCACCTCGGCTCTAATCTTCCTCTTGTTGAACTAATCACACAGGAGACCGAAAGAGTCTCAGGCACCTGCACTGCCACACATTCACTCTAATAATGAAGAGAGCCAAATTAATCACAGCTATTGGCTGCTCCATTCAGAGCTGTGCACAGGGCTTTCATGAGCTTTTGTTTTGATAACATTGCCTTTGTGTGCACTTTACAGTACACAGTACAGCCTGAAACAGACTCGTGAAAGGCTGCATGGTGCATTCATGAACGATAGTGTCACACTATTAAAATTCTAACCTTTACAATGAAACACATCCTTCACCATTTAGCGCTGCCTTGATTGGGATGTGGCGGCCTTTGAGTCACCCTGCTGTTTTTTTTAATTAACTTGTCATTTCAGATAGCATTGAGTGCTTTTTCTCAAGTATGTCTTAATCAAGACATCCAAAGTTTTATGATGATTTGAATGCTCTGGAGGGGCTTTACTCAGCGTTGTTTTCATCAAGTGGTCCATCATGGTGGCAACCTGTTGAATATGATGCAGCGGGAAGCTCCTGTCCAAATAATTTCCTTCATACTTTCTTCACAGTCTCTCTGTTACACACAGGGAAATAACTTATTCTGGAGAAAATATAAAGTTTAAATGTATGTGTGTATGTGGAAAGTTTAACATTGAGTGATTTGATCGATAGAGAGCAAATGTAGCCTCAACCACATCAATGCATTACCTGCAAAACAGTTTTAAAAGGCTTAACATCCATTTAATACCGTTTAATAGGTTACATTTTGCAATTGGAGATTAAAACACAAGAGGAATGCTGCTCTGTACCTTCAGGGAATTCTCCAAACCCCTCAAAAACATTTGTAAATGTTATCTTTAAACAAGCACACAATTCTGTCCAATTCCCTCACCCATCCTGTGTCTTGTGCCACACAACAACAACAACAACAACAATGAATACCTGTGGCTGATGCATTAATTAATGTATGAAATACTAAATGAAAAACTCAAATGTTTCCATGGCAGAGGAGATGTTGTTTTGCTTCAGCTTTTTGAAAGCTCTAATAAGAGAACAGTCTACTGTGAGAAAACATGCATTTCTGTGAGCGTGTGCACAGGAAACTAAACAGGGTATTATTAGCAAATGAATATCTCTCTTGCTGTTAAGCTGCTGGTACTCCATTGCCTGTGGACCATACTTATAATTACTGGAGATTGCCTTGATAGATTGGACTCCTCGTCCGGTGGGTTGAGGGCTTCACTTGAGCCCCACAGCGGAGGACCAACAGCTGTGCAGGAGCTGGTAAGAAGAGCCAATTGCTTGATGTGATGCATATTTACACATTTGTTATGTTCACCGGATGACACTGGGCATTAAACCCTGTTAATGAAGCACCGCAGTGTGTGACTCATCCCTTTAATGGACTTTTCTTGTTATTTACTTGACGTCTGTGTCATATTGATTGTGTGCTAATGACTTAGAGACGCCCACGTAAACTATGATCTTATTAAACACCTTTATGGATGGAAGCTGAGGAGAGATGCAGCTGTTACAAAGGGATGGGTCCAGTGAAGGAGTTTGCCTGTCCAGACTTGTAGGGGATGGTACTGAGATTATTTTTTTGGGTAGAAGTAGGGGCAGTCTAAATTTTTGGGGGACCAGAGGATGCTCTCAATTTATATTTTATTTCAGCCCTCTTTTGCAAAATAGCTACATAAATACAGGGCTTAATTTGTGCCAAAACTTGCCAGAATGGGATCCCAGATTGGGACTGACACATATTTGATGGATCTCTGGCAGAGGAGATTGATAGTCAGACAGATGTAAACATGCCAATTAGTTTGGTTCCTTAACCTGCTTGATTCTCTGGGTTGTAAATAGAGCTTTCAGCCCTAATTCCATTTCCCCCCATCGGCAGTCCGCAGAAGGAAATGACAAGGAAGTGAAGGGCCAGTCATCGAGAGATATAGAGAGAGAGAGAGCTGCAAGCCATAAACAACTGTTGCTACATGTCTCCCTATGCTGATTTTGTGAATGCTCTGATTATTAAATGTAAATAAATAATGCTTTATTTGTGATGACAGTTTTGTTTTGTTTACAGCTACAGCACCTTGACACTGCCCAATCAGTTCCAGATACCAGAGTCACACTGGCCATCAGGAGCACCAGGACAAATCCTGGTGGGCGCCGCGAGCCTCAAGCAAAGATGAGGAACAGGCTTCACAGGTCTGGAATACTTTCATCTTACTTACTCCATACAGTCTTGTAGTCCTCAGCCCCAACCAAAAGGCCACAAAAAAGTTCATAACTTTGTTCACACACGCAGTCGTACTCCCCAACACCTGTAAACAGTATTTGAGGAGTAAAATTAGGGGAGTTGCCCTTTAAAGTGTACACTAATCGCACACATTAGAAGTTCCATTAAGGTATTAAGATTTAAACTGGGTTATATGATTTATAAATGTACCAATTTAACATTATTATATTTACATATATTTATTTATTATATCACATTTTGACAAATCAAGAGCAGGGTTAAAAGAAGACATTTTTAACCATGGGGTGAGGCTTGCTCTTTTAGAAAGTGAGGTCTTAGGTTCAGCCCCCCCACCCTCATCCCAATAATTCTCATCC